GTGGGGCTGGAGGCCCTACTTCAGCTCCTCCTACTGCTGGATTAACCGGTATACCACACAGCATAGTGAGCGAGCCTGACCCCCGGCCAAGCCCACCTGCACCGAGCCCTCGTTGACCTTGAACCCCCGACGTCCACTCCAGCACCACCCTCCGATCTAATTTCCCTTAGCCATTCACACACGACCTCCGACGACAAATGGCCGATTGACTAACGTGTGTCGTGCACGATGTGCCCCAGAAATCTGTCCGCTGCTTCCGACGAACTCGAGGGAATCCATCCTTGAGAAAGAGTGAAATGAGAGAACGGGGGGTAGGCGGGAAGAAAGAGCGAGAGAAAGAGCGAGAGAAAGAAAGAACAAAATGAAGAAGAAGAAAACGCAATGGAGAGAGTGAATGAGTAGGAGAGAAAGATCGAGGTTTGCCTTGCTTTGAATTGCTACTGTGCGTGCGTTTAAAACGTGTGTTCTCCGGAGTGTACACGTGTTTTACGTACGTATCGATGTAGAGTATGCATGGCATGTGTGAATGGCGCGCGCATGTATGATGAGCTTGAGTCTGCGTTTGGTGGACTCCTGGAATAGTGCATTTGATGTAACATTGTGACCAAACCAAATACAGTTGGGCAGTAATGATGACAATTTATAAGATGTCGTGGCTAAAGGAGGAAATAACCAAACGGTGGGTAAGAATTCTCTGTGTCGTAATTTTGTATAATTCACTTCATACTTAACCGTACGTGACTTTAGACAACACAAATGATGACATAAAGAAAAAGCAAATACAAGGAAAATGAAGTTTCATTGATTTTTTGTTTTTGTGTTTTGTATTCTGTTTTTATCAAAGTTTAATCAAACTTTGGTCGATCAAGATTGGTAATTAGTTCCTCAGGCCCATGATCAGTTCTTCCTTTTATAATGATACCTGCAGCATCGAGAAGTACATTGGCTAGTCATAGAGTACAAATCAAACATGGGTGAACATTACATCTGGCACACAGTTGAAAAGCATATTAATGAGTTTAGCCTAAATATCCTGTATAAGTTTTATCAATGATATTTCGCTTCCAGTTAAATAGGTTTAACGTAGGGAATAAACAATTTCAGAATTTCTTATTTCGTATTTGCATTAGTTCCATTTGTAATTTTTGCGCTACATAATAGTTTAGTATTCCATGAAAACATCTAATACTATAAATAAAAGAAAAACCTCCCTGTTCGATATAAATATATATACATATATATATATACATATACATATATATATATATATATATATATATATACACAAAAACACACATACACACACACACACCGCATATATATATATACACTATATGTTTTAATCCTTCATATTCTTTCATTTCAAACATGAAACATGTTTTTAGCGAAGTCATGCATTATTTTGCCACACTGTATTTGGGTTCGCGCATGCTCTTTAGTTTTTGTTTCTAAATGAGAACCATACTCCCGAGAGCATATATATAAATATATAATTTGGCAACTTGAATAATTTTTACAAACTTCATTTCTTTCGTGGACGTTGTGACTCTCAGTGTTAGTATATTATATTAAAATGGAAAATGTAGTTGCTCACAGATACATTTTTATGTTTCACTTAAAGATCATGAAAATGCTGCGTGATAAAAGGAAAAGAAAAAAAAACAGGAATACGAAGTCAGTAGTATATCTTACCTGTGGTAAAAGTGGCTAAAAGTAACGAAGGAAATTGTAAAGAAATATGTAACCGTTGGGGCATTCTCAAGCGTGTGGTACATCACTATGTTGTTGATAGTACTAAATAGAACTTGGTAAAATCGAATGCCTGATTTATTCATATTTTTAAATGTCGATTACCGATACAAACAGACCTATTTCAATTGCCTTACGATATATATGTATGATCAAAGTAAGGTTTATTTGTCTTCACGCACCGATCGATAAAACAAATTAAAAATGTATTGAGAAACTCAGTAAAAGGAGAATGGTATTCGTGAGAAGGGGAGAAACTGTTCTTGATAATTGAAATTTTATAAATTCCGATTGTTCTAATTCTCCCAATTTTGTAAGTTTTCTTTTTATTTTACATGCGAAAATTTTGAAGTGCACATATAAATGCAAGATTGTTTAAGTTGCAGAAATATGAACTTTAGGGTTAAATATGATTTTTGTATTGTACATTGAGAATGATAGCGAATGGAAGATATATTTTTGAATGGGACATGATATGACTTTTGTAGATATAAAATTAGTTTCCTCCTTTTCACGAATGTTATTTACTGCTAAAAAAAACTTATTGGTGACGATAGGATCAGCGCGGGTGTATAGTAAAACGAATTGCTTCAATAAACTGAGAAAAACGTGTCGTCTTTAATTTTTGTGGCATCTATTTTTGTACTTTTTTCGAGTTACACTCATGAATGCCTTAACGTTCCGTAATTGAATGCAGCATCTTCATCCGAAGTGTTTAAATTCGTAAATAACGATAATAATAATAATAGGTAACATCGATAAGTGGCATTTTGATACAGAGTATTTTTGTGTTTTCTGAAAGGAACAAAAAACCACTTATTGTTTCAGAGAAGATAAACACCTATCGATTAGCGTTCTTTAAGTGAGTGAGATTGTGTACGGAAGAAAGAGAGAACGAAAGAACACACGAGCGAAAGGTAGTACGAACAGAGACAAGTTTTATTAATTGATAATTATAATATGATTAATTATTGTATTAAGTAAAGTAAAAATGCGATGTTACGAAAACTTGAATATATTATCGAAAGATGAATCATTAAAAGAAAAAAAAAAAAACGAAAAAAAAGATGAAAGAAAGGACAAAATGGACAATTTTTTGAGAAAAAGATTATTAAAAACGATGATAATAATTAAATAAAAAAGAAAAAAGAGAAAAAAAATGAAGAATATGAAAAATCTATTTTAGAGACACACATATCTATTCGGTTGTTTTTTTTGTATCATTTCGTTTATCGGAGAGAAAGTAAAATTTATCGCGATGGTTAATCGTCGTCATGTATAATTGCGGATCGTCGTAATGGCGTTGGTTATTAATTTTAGACGCCATTTCGGAATTGTCGTGCGGTTGTAAAGAGCGTTCAACTCTCCAACACACTGCGTGTCCGTATTTCAAGAGGAGTGCAAATATTGTGAGAAGAAAAGTGATATATATATATATATATATGTATCACTTATATATATATATATCATATATAGGTATAGACGATTAGTTCTTCAGTTTCTCAGTGATCGATACATATGTATATTACGTCGGATGAAAGGATTTTTTCTTTTCTTCTTTTTTTTTTTTTTTTCTTAATATTATTTAGTCATTCGGAAGACAAAAATAGACTGAGTTGTTTGGTATTATTCATCGATGCTTTTGGGTTGAATATGCACCTTACACGAGCTTTTGCTTCGAAGCTTTCACAAGCGAATGACGAACCATTCCAACTGTTGTAAAGATCAAATTACCGAACAACACTTGATCGATAAATATGAGACGATGTAGGAGTGAGAGAGCGAGCGAGCGAGCAAGCAAGCGAGAGAGAGAGAGAGAGAGAGAGAGAGAGAGAAAGAAAGAAGAAATGAAAACATAAAGCATCACAGAGACACATACAGTGTGACAGAGATGACATTATACAGTTCTAAATAGAGATACGCTACGTACACGCTACACGTGGTACGTTTGTCGCGTGACGAGATGGTCCAAAAAGCTGCAGGTTTGTTTAGAGGACTTCGATATAGAGAATCGGGGGTCAGCTCGTCCCTGCAACAAGTCGTACCGGTACATAACGTAGGAACATTATACATACGTTTTCTTTCTTTTCTTTTTCAAGAATATTATTACTTATAAATACATCATTATATATATATATATGAAGAAAGAACGAGAGCGTGAGCGAGAGAATTTTGACGAATGAATAGGAGATACTACTCTAAATGATGGAGAGAGCTGTTTTTATATAGTTTTAATTGTGAAGAGAGGTAAATTAATGCGAGGATTCATGAACCAATATCTACGCACTTAATTACCAACTAGCCGGCGAATATGAAGCCTCCTTTTCCCCCCCTTCTGTCTACGAGAAAGTATGTGGGTCCTGATGCTGTGGGATTACAAACAAAAAAGAACTCACATATTCATTCATCCGTTTTTAATTAGTCGTTCTCATACGAATATTCTATATATATTATATATTAATATATATAATATATATATATGTGTATAAATACATTATATATATATATATTATATATAGAGAGAGGTCGTTCTTTTTTCTTTCTTTTTTTTTTTTGTCCGATGGAAATGGCGCCAAAACACCTTCGTTTTACAATGACGAAAAAGAAGCAAACTGAGAAAGAAAAAGCCACATAATGAAAATTGAAGATGGTGAAAACAGCAACATTAATATTATAATTAATAATAATTATAATAAATACAATATTTGTACAATAATCAACGGTGCTGTGGTGGATGCTGTAGGTCTAAATCTGCGATACCCTGTTAACCTATCCCTGACCTATTTGTAAACAATTCCTGAACGTATAAGTGAACGAACAAGAAATTTCGCGGGTGCATACTTTCTAAAATTATAACGATGCCGATACATTTCGTTTTTTATTTCCTTCGATTTAATGTTCCGATTCAGGAGGTGATGATGATGATGATGACGACGATGATGATGATGATGATGATGATGATGATGATGATGATGATGATGGTGATGATGATGTTGGCGAGGATGATGATAATGATGATGATTGATGATGGTGATGATGATTGATGATGATGATAATGGTAATGATGATGATGATGATGTGTATATATATGTATATATGATATATATACATATACATATACTCACACACACACACACACACACATATATATATATATGCATATATGTATATATATATAATGAATTCTTGATGAGTTCCTAATGCCAAATATAACACATATTGTGATTATTACTTGTCTTGTGTATCGTTTAAAAAAATATTCAAATGTAAGCCCTTAAATAACCAAGTGTTCGCACGAACGCTTTGCAAATTTGAGTCAGTCAGGAAGCAGAACTCTATTGAGAGTATCAACATTCGTCGCAGTTATTTTATTTTACATTTTCGCCGGTAAACTCGAGCCAAGTTGAATCACAGGTATTCGACAACATCGCGGTAGAACACGATTGTTATCGATAATCGATATTGAGCTGTGTCACGTTAGAGAACCGCCATGGACTCTCATATGCCTGTTCAGATTACCGCTTTGGCTAAACCTCAGCAAGCACAACTTACACTGATATGGTTTCTCGCCAGAATGAATACGAAGATGTTTGGTTAATGTAGAACTATCCGAGAATGCCTTTTTGCAGAATCGACATCTGGAATAAAAGAGAATTGGCGATTATAAAAGGTAAATCGATCAATTGGATTGCAAAACGTAATACAACATTGTTTAACGTAATTATGTCGATAATCGTCGACTTGGAAGTAATTTATATGAATTTAGAAGAAATAATTTTGTATAATATAAGAAATGTCATTGCAGATTTTTATACTTTTCTGCATGCGATAAGATACAAATACTTCCAAGTAATGATATGTGCCGGTTTTAAGCGGCACGCGTTGTGCCACGGGTGAATAAATAATCCATATAACGTGGTACAACACACCTATACGGACGTTCTCCCGAGTGCGTTCTCATATGTGTGGTTACGGAACTGCTTTGCGAAAATCTCCGATCACACACTGGACATCGAAATGGTTTTTCTCCCGAATGAGTTCTTGCATGGGCA